TTAAATTGTTTTGTTGTGAACCGCCCCGAGTCCCTCCTTGTGGGGGAGTTGGGCGGTGATATAAATTTGATATATAAATAAAATAAATAAACATTCAAAAGGGTGCACAAACTTTGAGCACCACTCTTGGCACTGGAAAAAACAGCAGACTGTTTCAGCCATGCCTCCCGTGCAGTGCCAGTGCTGGCTGCAAAAAAGATAACCTTGCTGCATTTGTGATCTGAAGCTAAGTGTCTCTCCAGTAGATACCTTGTATCTTTCAGGAGGTAGCCGGTGTGCATAGGAAAAAGGACAGGGAAAGAAGGAATGGAAGAGAGAATGAGGCTTTAAAAATTTTTTTTTTGCTAAGACTAGGTTCTTAGGAGCGGGGCCCTAGTCAAGATGGTCTAGGAGGCAGGACAGAACCTTCTCTACCAGTTCCAGGAGAAGAGAAATCAGATTTCACTCAGCACAGATGCAATCACTGTTCTCTGATCTTTCTTTTGAATGATTAAAAACACTTTGATTCATTTAAATGTTTGGTTTCTTAGCCTTCACTAATTTAAAACCTGAACAACTACCTCAGATATAATTAAGAAATATTGAAAATTAAAATGGGTTCACAAACTTTTAAGTACCACTGTAGATGTTAAACAGCATACAACAACGTTACACTGTGAACTAGATTACTTTTCAAGCACTGGTCTTACATCAGCCCATGAAATGACACTATGCTATATTTGCATGTCATATTATATTAGAATTCTAAGATGTTACTGCAAATTACACAAACTCTTCATTTGGCTACACTTGCCACAGGACTAAGTAAACAAATTACAACAGCTACTAAACTAGGAACTCCTTTTTGTTTCTCTCCTAACAAACCAGAATCAAGCCATGGTGTATTGATGATGTTTAATCCTTAGCATCCTTGGGAGAGAAAAGCTAGAAAAGGACCTGGTTCAGAGGTCATGAAATGTTTTATCACTCCCACTAGTGAGTGAAATCACACAGAAGGGATTAAGGAGTATGCACCAACACACTGTTTTTGTTTGTTATTAAACCAAATTCTTAGAACTTGCTTAACCTATAAATGGAGCCAATACTCTACCTGTGGACAATCATAACAGGACTGTAATGCTGGAGGACAGCCAATATTTTTCCCTCATGACATTTGCCTATTTTTAAGCACATTTTCCCAACCCCCAAACAGAGCAACAAGTTCACCAGCTTCAGAGGCAAGAATGTCATTTGGGCTTTCCTGAGCAACTCATTTCCATTAGAGTTGGCCATCATAATAACCATAAAACCATAATATTTGGTGGCTTAGATATTGCATATTTCCTTTTCTTCCCAATTTCTCCTTCTCCTCTTGCCTGAGGCCAGAAAATGTCTAGGCTTTTAATGATTCTACAAATTGTTCCAAAAGCCTTTCAAGTTGGAGAACATAAAAGGATCTATTAAGTTCATAAATACATGGATCTATATCTAAAAGACTATTTTAAAAGTCCATGCTCTGAATCAAACAACAATCAACTTCCAACTTTATTTAAAGTTTCACAGAGTAAGAGTGCTTACATCTAAAGCATTCTGTAGCAAAGAGAGGAAATCCTAGATTCAAAATGAGCCTCTGTCACAAATTTCCTTGATGGCTTTTAATAAGCCTCTTTCCCTCCAGAATAAACACCAACCTTCAACATAGGAACAAAAATAATACTCATCTGCCATATAAGATTACAGCAACACGAGTAATATTAAATACCCTAAACGTTCATATCATGGCAAGGAGAGGGAGACTCATAGGGGAAAGCTGTCGGAGGGTCCGGGCTCGAAGCTCCCCGGATAAGCTTTTTTTTTTTTTTTAGATATATCCCGTCTTTATTATTTTTATAAATAACTCAAGGCGGCGAACATACCTAATACTCCTTCGTCTTCTTATTTCCCCTAGAGCAACAACCCTGTGAGGTGAGTTGGGCTGAGAGAGGGTGACTGGCCCAAAGTCACCCAGCCGGCTGTCATGCCTAAGGCGGGACTTGAACTCAGAGTCTCCTGGTTTCTAGCCTGGTGCTTTAACCACCAGACCAGACTTGGACAAGTTCCTCTCTTAGTCGAATCTCCGTTTCACAGGGTTGTTCTAACAGCAAAATGGGAAGCGACCGAGAGAGCGGCGAGTGAACGGCGATTTAAGAAGGGAAATAACTAGAGGTAGGAATTAATCAATGAGCAAGGGGAAAGCAGCTCCACACCGTAGCTCCCCCTAAATCTTTTCCACTCGAGGCAACCCCCTCCCGCCCTAACCATTACTGCCGGCGGTGCCCGAGTACGGCTTGATGCTTCCGCCGAGCCAGACCCCACGGCCGGCTTTACCCCATTCGAGGCTAGGCTCTCCGGAGGGCCAGCCGGCGATCGAAGCCGTCACTGCAGCCGCCATCTCCGTCTTCCGGGATTGCACACTAAGATCGCCGAATTACGTAAATACACGCATCCTGCTCGCATCCCCCGCCCCTCGACTACAAGGGCCGCGAAGGACCAAAAGCCTGAAAACAGCGTTAAGCTTTTCTCTCTCTCTCTCTCTCTCTCTCT